CCCTTTTCTTATGGATGTCCACAAAACCTCTGAGTGTCTCTTTTCTTTCTACAGATGAAGGCATGGCTAATTGTCCTGGCAGGATACCTGAGAATCTGGCTTGGTCTACACTAAACCCCCAAATCGAACTAAGGTACACAACTTCAGCTACGTGAATAACGTAGCTGAAGTCGACGTACCTTAGTTCGAACTTACCGCGGTCCACACCCGGCAGGCAGGGCTCCCCCGTCGACTCCGCGTACTCCTCGCGGCGAGCAGGATTACCGGAGTCGACGGGGAGCACTTCTGAGTTCGATTTATCGCGTCCAGACTAGACGCAATAAATCGAACCCAGAAGTTCGATTGCCTGCCGCCGAACCAGCGCGTAAGTATAGACAACGAAGATACACACTCACTTCTAAAATCACTGACTCCTACTTCAATGGAAGTCAGAAGCACTGTTTATTTGGGTGGCAGAGAAATTAGTGAGCTGGAGAAATTCGCAAAAGAGGCCCTTGCATCATCCATAAGGGATTTGTTACTCTCTTTTTAATAAAGGAAGTTGGTTTAAGATCACATCGCTGAAACTTGTATACGTGTGTTGTGGTGGGTGGAGGAGATAGAGGTGAGGGGCTGTTTATCTCCTTACAAATCTATTTCTTTTGTCTTTTAAAAATTAAAGATAAAATGAAATACCCTCTGTATGCTTCAATGATCTCATGTGGGCAGATCTTTATGTATTCCGTACAGATTTTACAATTCCATTAGATTTGTGTGGTTATCAGAGCTGGATTCAGTCGTAGCCTGACCGTATGGTCTGTAGTCTTTGCCAGAGAGCTGTGTGGCACCTACACTCTCCCCACTGCTCTGAAACCTCCAATCTCCCAGGACTCCTTCTCTTGTGCCAGAGCACCCAGACATGGCTACATCAGTTTCCCCTCACAGAACTTAAAATGGCAGCTGCAAACCTCTAAACCTTTCACGGTGCACATGAGACACTAGTCATCTCAGCAAGATTCCCCAAAACAAGGCCACATTGAGGAGAACAGAAGGATTCAGACCAAGTTGTTTTAAGGGTTAAAACATGAGTCTGGTACAGGTTACACTGGTGCGTGTAAACCAGGAGTGACTCCCCTGAAGCCATCATTGTTACACTGGTGTGACACTGTCATAATGGAGATATGAATCAGGTCCATGATTTCTATGAAAAGACTAGCACAAGTTTACAAAAGGGAAATGTTTCCTCTATTTGAGTTGGCTGGATGAGCTCCCAAAAGCCTTATTCAATCCCATCTTGTGCATCCTTGAGATGGGGGCCTGTCCCAGATGTCTGCCTGTTGCCAAAAAGAAAACTTGAGTGAATGAGCTGAACAGGATTTCACCCTTTTGGGATCAGAGTTCACACGATAAGAGTTTGGCTGAAATCCCAACACGTAACAGCGATGATGAGCTGCTCAGCCACACATTTGATCATTTCATCACACGAAGCCGTCAGGTGTGTCTGGCAAGATACACATCAGCTCACACAGGAAAGCTTCCTAGATAATGTACCCACTGAGTTTGGCATGGGGTAGAATTCATGGAGTTGCTCTAAAGCCCTCAAGCCAGCAAGATGTAACCTGGAGAAGAAGTCAATTTCAACCTGATATGCCCACAGCCTCTGAGCACCCTCTGGAGTTAGACCCCACCTCCTGAGCTATCAAACTCTTCTTACACCCTAAGAACAGCTTCAACCACTCCTAGCTGCTCAAATCCTCTCAACCCAATCCCCGCCTCCTCCTAATGCCAGTGTCTGTAAGTGAATGACTACACTGGCGGCAGAGATGTAACTTTGTCCAGCCACCCTGGGTATGTGTGTAGGGTTTCAGAAGGGATCACACACCATCTGGCCAGCCAGTTCCATCGCTAGTGCTGCCATAGTTACATTTCGACTTTTTGTGCACTAGCTGAAGCAGAACTAATGCAGGTGCATCTACCTGAGCTGGAAATTACACCTCAAGCCCCAGTCTAAAGACACCCATACACGGACGCCAGAGTTGATAAGCTCTGCACGGTTTGGGAGGGGACAGGTCAAGGGCTCATCACCCATGATCTAGCAACCTTTCCAAAGTGTCTTTCACTGGCACTCCTGACCACTCCACGACAGCAGCATCAGAAATATGCTCCCTCTAGTTGGGCATCATCCTTCAAGTGGGAACGTGCTGTCTCACAGCTCAGCCTGCTGGATTTGAGGGACAGAACAATGTAGACAACCACAGAATGGCAACAGTCTCAGACAAATTAATGCTGTGATCAATTTTCGAAATGTAATTCCCGCACATCTAAAGGGTAAAATTCTTATGTTCTTAAAAAATCTGCCTGAGATTTCTGATCTATGGTCCAATGGCAGAGGTGAGTTTCAGGGAAACTTGAAGATGGGATCAGAAGTGAATTGTGGGCTATCAGGTAACCAACTGAAACAGCAGAAGCTTTTGCCTTTTGGAAATTGGGTCTCATCTTTTTATGGACAATGTTGTGCTTGATTCTGACGTGAATTACACCAGTTTTATGCTAGTGTAACTACGATGTCTTCAGTGGTGTCACTCCTGATTTACAGCAGTTAGTGTAACAGGGAAGTGAATCAGGCATGATACCTGAATGCGGTTTAGCCTGATTTCCCTTTTCTCCTCAATGTACAAGATAAGGTTTTGGAACAGAGGTGGGGAGAAGGTCTAGGTGCCAGCGAGCTCCACCCTACAGTCAAGCTGTGACTGAACTCAGCCCCTCTGACACCACAAAGTGAAAGGATTTATAAGAATGATAAGAAATAGAGAGCTACCCATAGGAGCCCGTTGAAACTTATAGAGATGCATGGACCATGGTCTGCAAACATCCAGGTGTTGAACTAATATGTTATAGGGATGTTTTTAGGATGTTTTTAATTTAAAAAAAATTAACTAAATGGCTTTCTCAAGGAGACAAATGATAGAAACAGCCCCCTTGCTTCCCACCAACACGCACACACTTCAGCAAGATTACCTCAAACCAACTTGCTTTTATTAAAAGGAGAGGAACAAAACTTATATGGTGATACAAAGCTCCCTTCTGGAATTTCTCCAGCTCAGTAGGTTCTTTACACTTCCGGGTTCCATTGAAGCAAGATCTGATGATTTTAGAAGCAAGTGGCTGTCTCCCACATTCCCGGAGATCCTGCTTAGACAATCAGTAAATAAGTCGCCTGTACAAAGAAAAGAGATTCAGATTTGTGGATATTTTTCCATAGAACAGGGCTAATATGAAGTTTGATTTCAAATCAAAAGGAAGAATTGCCCAGTCACTCTGTGGTGGGTGAAGAGGTTAGAGGTTATTGGTTAACTCCGGCTCAGGGAATTCATTTTCTCTACTGCAACATTCTATTACAGAGTTTTAAGGTGAATAGTCGTTTGTATCTAAACAGGTGAACTGGCTGCCTATAAAAAACTACCATGCAGAAAACTATGACTCACATCCAGGTACAGTTGTTCTCCCACACAAACCCTGTGCACAGCTGAAGCTAAAATGACACATAATTGCATAGGTGATAAATCACTTACTTTTAAAGAATGAAGGGAAAATCCAATTCTCTCTGAAGGGTGACACCATTTGGGTGGCAGTTGCATACAAGCAGCTGCTGGCATGGCCACTCTGGCCAAGTTCCCCGGCTCTCAGTCTGCAACCCTAAGGGTCTCCCAGCCTCATACCTCCTGCCCTTGTCCTCCATCTTTAGTAGGTGGGAAAAATCTCTCACCCTCCAAAGTGCTTCTCTGGGACCTGCCCTGCTGCAAAATTAATTTGACCATGCTGGGCGTCATGTATAGTTTATGACAGATACTGTGTGAATCAGGCAGAGCAGGAATAGAAAGGCCTCAGAGATATGGAATGTGGCCAAGTTAACATTCCATGGGAATCCTTGATATTTAAAACATTAAAAACCTACTGAATAGTGCTCACATTGATGTCACCAAGATTTTTATAATACTGTCCTCAGGCTTCAAAAAGTGGGGAAATCACGGGCAAATGTCAGTACATAGCTGCTGTAAGGACTGAAGGATTCATCAGCTCTTAAATGGCTTTAAATCCTTGGGGGATTGGTGCTGATTTAATTACACTGAAGAGTGAGCACTTCTGATTACATGCAGGTGTCACTCACTGGTCAGTGTGTGTTAGTTGTACCCTATGTGCCTGAGCTACAGAGAAGGAGAATTGGTAACATCCCCAGCTAGAGAGCCTGGCCCCGTAGCTCAAGCTGTGCTTTGCTCGAGAGGTTTCTGCTTTAATCCCCAATCTGTTGAGCAAGATAGCGCCTAGCACCCTTCTGCGTTCTACATCACCCCCAATCTATAAGCTCACACCCATGAGCAACTCTTAATGCAGCTCCTCATGTGCTTTAGCGTTTGCAGCCTCTGGACCCACATACACGGTAAGAAAGCCCAGTGAAATGCTGCACGGTGCTAGTCTGTCTGCAATTGTAATGAGTTAGTTTCCACTCGAATATTTTTCACACTGGCTTGGCAGGCTTTTCTTTGTCATCAAGCTGTAGCTTTCCAGTTTTAAAGTCTTATAAATATTGAGTCTCTGCAGACAGCAGCCATTTTGTTCCCAGAATTTCACAGGTTTTAAGGCCAGAAGGGACCATTTGATTATCTAGTCTGACCTCGTGCCATAGACTTTCGCCGAGTTACCCCTGTACTGAGCCCAGTAACTTGTATAAGTGGATTCTCTTCCACAAAGGCATCCAGCCTTGATTTGAAAACACCAAGAGATGGCGAATACATCATTTCCTTTGGCAGTTTGTTCCAATGGTTAGTCACCCTCACTGTTAAAATGTTAATCTTATTTCTAACTAAAAATTCTCTGGCTTCAGCTTTCAGCCACTGGTTTTTGTTCTGCCTTCTCTGCTAGATTAAATAGTCCTTGAGAACCTGGTATTATCTCCCTGTGAATGTACTTATACACTTCATTGAAGTCATTGGAGATGCCCACATACGATGATGATTCCCCATTGACAACTATTTTAGGTTGTACATGCTATTATATGTGTGCTTTAATGAGGTTCTGTGGTGCTAGGTTTCTAATCAGAACCTTGTGCTGTGATAAGTCCTTGTCAGGCTAAGTGGTCTATCATTACCCAGGTCATCCTACCTGCCCTTGTTACCTATTGGCAGAACATTAACTCTCTTCTGGTCTTCTGGAATCTCCCCAACATTCCAGAATTTATTAAAAATCATAAGTGGAAGACATCTCCTCAGGCAATTCTTTGAGGATATGGTAATAGAAGTTTTCATGTCTGCTGATTTAAAAATGTCTAACGCTAGAGGATGTTCTTTAACATCCTCCTTATTTTCTAATGCATAGATAGTAGTCACCATCCTCATGTAATATCAGTACATCAGCCTGCTTCTTTCCAAATACAGAAGAGAAATATTTAGGGGACCCTTCTGCCTTTTCTGCCTCACAATTAACAATTTTATCACCACCTATGAATGGGCCTGTAGAATTTTTAGGATTTCTTTTTTTCCTGATATTTTTAAAAAATGCTTTCTTGTCCTTAGCACCGTGAGCCATGCATTCTTCCCTGATGTCCTTAGCTTCCCCTTTCATATAGCTAAACTTCATCACTTCTAATTTTAGATTGACTTGATTTGGATAGATTTGGATTATCTAAATCCCTTGTTTCCCATTTGTTGCAGATATTGTTTTATTTCTAATTGTTGACTTCACTTCCCCTGCAGACTGATACGGAGCAGACTGAGCCTCTGCACTCACTCCTCCAGACTTTGTTTTTCCTACTTAATTTCCCTATTTCAAAATATAAAAGCCAGGTGGACATTGGGGTGTTTGGGGCCCAGGCCCTGCCCATATATGAAGCTTCGGAAGCATATGGAGGCTGTAAAAGGACCATAAAGGAACTTGGGGGGATTCTCTCAAAGTGTGAGCAGCACACGGCTGTCATAATAAGTCCCTGTTGCAAGCACTGGAGCTGGGGTGGTGCTGGAGACGTTGGTGGAGGCTGTCAGGTCTCTGGGGGCAATCCCTGTAGCACTGAGCACTGCAGAGAATCTGCTCCAAGCTGTGGAGTGTATCACAGGCAGCCTGGGTAAGGCAGTTGTAAGTAAGAGCAGCCAGAGGAGTGGTTCTCATACATGTTGGGTCCACTCCAGTCCCCACGTGGCCTAGAATGTGGGAAGCACAGATGTGGCTTGAAGCCTCCTTGGCCTCTGGGCTGGGCCATGTGTGTGGAGGCTCCAAGAGTATTAAACAACAGGTATTTCTGTTCACACTGCAATGTCTGCCTTGGAATGCTAAACTTACGTTTGACAGCAAAAGTACGCATTTCGAGAGCATCTTCCAATGCGTCTCCGGTTAGGAGGACATCTCCCAAAGAAACAATGACCCCCTTGCATTCTACATCTCACAGTGAGAATCTGAGCCTTGGAGAATTCTGTAGAAAGAAAAAGAGTCATCATCAGTCTGCAGAGCAGGGTTAATAAGGGCTGTGATTGGAGGATGACAGGCATTTAAGCCCATAAGAACGGCCATACTGGGTCAGATCAAAGATCCATCTAGCCCGCTATTGTGTCTTCCGACAGTGGCCAATGCCAGGTGCCCCAGAGGGAATGAACAGACCAGGTAATAATCAAGTGATCCATCCTCTGTCATCTATTCCCAGCTTCTGGCAAACAGAAGCTAGGGACACCATCTCTGCCCATCCTGGCTAATAGCCATTGATGGACCTATCCTCCATGAACTTATCTATTCTATCTTTTATTTATTCTATCTGTCTTTCCTATTCACTTCCACCTGTCTAAGACAGACCAATTATCTTCAAGTGCAAAAACTTATCATAGCTTTAGTACCATTCCTCCAATGGGTGTAGTTCTGTGCACGTTCCGTGGCTGACTTTAAGAAGGGAACAGAGCGAGTTAATTAAACAGGGACCCTGGCTTTCAGGCTGCAGGGTTCAGAACTGTAGCTCTGAGCACGGACATCCTTTGCTACCCCTGCCTTTAAGTGATGGAAAGCAAGTAGCTGCCCACATCTCTACCTTCTTTTAGCGGCTGGTGCTGTGGGTGTGATTCCCTCGGGCTCTGACAGGGATGTGCCAGGCAGTACCATCAATGCAATTTGGCTACGTAGGGTTGAACTGGCTCAGCGCTGGGTTGCATGACTACAACTGTTTGAAAGAGAAGGGCTTGAAAAAGTCCCTTCTGGTATGAACGCCTGCCTGTCTGGGAGACTGGGCAGTTTTTTTTCTGAAGACTCACGCAGGAATAGTTTCTTGACGACCAATTGCCACTCTTTGGTTATACTTGAAGGTCCTGTTATTTTGAAAATGCCACAGAGCCAAAGCTTGTAGAATATTTAGGTTAGAACATTTTTAATTGGAGGTTGTTGGGCAACTGAAATGGATCCACTGACACTGGTGCAAACACTGTCCCACCCTGATGACATTATTATTAGGAAATCAGCCAAACACATAGTAGTGACAGGTTCTGAGAGTGAGTGGGGTTAAGACACTGAGCTGAGAAGCTGCCATTGTATAGACCTGGGTTCTGTTCCCAGCTTTGCAACCTCTCAGTGGGACATGAGGCCTGACTTTATAATACAGACTGTGAAAGGCACAGAACTACTAACATTAGTGAGCAGCAGATGTTACATCTTAAGTTACAGTCTTCCACCTCCCAGCCCTATGTACCTTCTCCTAGACCAAAGGCATATTGAACGGTGTTGGCATGAGTTCATTTTGTCTGTATCCCATCCAGATGTACAATTCTGTGATTCCCTGTTCGAGGAAGAGTACGTGCTGTGTGGGTAGATCATGGGGTGATTTAAGCAGCAAGCCTCAGAAAGATGGG